AGATCTACGGATTTCTACGGATATTTCAGAGAATAAACACGGAATTTTAGTTCCGAGGAGGTGGCAGCCCTGGTAACAAGCCACTCTATTTTTTGTCCTGATTAGTTGATAGTTTGTTTAATGATTATATATTGTTATTTGTTTCTTTAATAAATAAACCACAAAAACCAACAGGTTATGGGCCCAGAACTCTAAAAAACTGTGGAAATCCGAAACAATTTAAAAATATCATCGAATCTTGAAGAGAAGGCTTTTAAACGAAAAAAATGGCGGAAAGTAACAAAAATAATTTCAACGTAGAATTGTTAACAGGGTCAAATTATTATACATGGAAATTCAGGATGAACGTATTATTAGAAGAAAAGGATGTTTATGAGTTTATAATTAATGAATTTAAGGAAGATGATTATAATGATGATAAGAAGAGGGAAGAAGCAAGAAAAAAGGACAATAAATGTAAAAGTTTAATAATACAGTGTTTACATGATAGCCAGATTGAAATCGTAAGAGATGACAAGACAGCCTATGGTATGTGGAAAAGTTTGAAAGAAAGATACGAAAAAAGGGGCATTCCAGGACAGTTGATGTTACGAAAAAAATTTATGTCTATGAAACTGAGCGATATCTTTAAATTAGAAGAATTTTTAAGTGAATTTGACCTAGTGGTACGTCAATTGGAGGCTAGCGGGGTAGATTTAAAGGAACAAGACATTGTGTGCACATTATTACTAGCTATGCCTAAAAACCTAGAGACAATAGTAAATATAATAGAAAGTGTACCAGCAGATAATTTGACAGTAGATTTTGTTAAAAGCAAACTTCGTGCTGAGGTAGAGAGAAGAAAATCTGTAAATGATAATAGCGATAGTTACGCAAAGTCAGCAGCTTTTAACAATACAATACCCAATCAAGGTTTATGTTATATTTGTGGCAAGCGTGGACATTTCAAAAGGGACTGTAGGTCAAATCGAGGGCATAGAGGTGTTTTCCAAAGAGGTGGTCATCAAGGAAGTGCTTTTAGAAGTTACAATAGAGGTTTTATCAACAATCAGAGATTAGGTTCAAGAGGTGGATTTAGAGGAAATGGTCAGGGCAGACAAAATTTTCCTGATGGACAATATGCAGAAAATGAAGTGCAAAGTGATGTACAAGGTGGACAAAATATATGTTTTATGACAAATCAAGCAAATTTCAAGATTATGCTACAGATGAACACTTTCATCATCTGTTAAGAGTTCTAAAGTATTTAAAGTCGACCATAAACTATAAGCTATATTTTAGTTACTCGGATGAAGAATTAATTTGTTATACTGATGCAGATTGGGCAAATGATTCTTCAGATAGAAAATCTGTAACTGGTTATTGTTTTAAGTTATTTAATAGTTTGATATCTTGGAGTTCCAAAAGCAGACGATAGTCACTCTTCGAGTACTGAATCAGAATTTGTTGCTGTTTGCGCTGCTTCTTGTGAACTGATATATATTAAAAATTTGTTAGATGAGTTGAATATTTCAATTTCTATACCAATTTCATTGTATGAAGATAATCAAAAGTACTATAAAGTTACTTGAAAATTTTGAAAATAACAAACGATGTAAACACATTGATGTAAAATTTCATTTTGTTGTAGATTTAATAAATAATGGAATTATTAACGTAAAATATGTTTGTACAAATGAACAACTAGCAGACGTTTTTACAAAGTCATTATGTTATGAAAAGTTTTCCTATTTCGTTAAAAGTTTAAGTATTAAAGAATAGCCAGGTTTGCGGGAGGGTGTTAATGTATGTAACCCAATATACAACTACAAACCTGTCTGGTCTTTAACGGTGGCAACACTGTTTTCTGTATTATTAGTGGTGGTAATATTAAGCAAGAAGATGTAACAAGCCACTCTATTTTTTGTCCTGATTAGTTGATAGTTTGTTTAATGATTATATATATTGTTATTTGTTTCTTTAATAAATAAACCACAAAAACCAACAAGATTCAACAATGAAAAAAAAATAAACGTAAAAAACTGTGCTAAATTTTTTTGGTTGACTTATTCGCATTTACATTAGAATGTATATGTCAATCCGCTTGATAATACAGCACTTTGTATATGTTTTTGAATTATTTATGTGATTTTAATACAGATGAGTAGGCAACGGCGCAATAGTTTCTACAATATAAAATGCAATTCAAATTATTATGAAAATGGTATATATGGATGGCTCCAAAGTAAATATTTGTACAGAGGATTTTTAAGTATATCTGACGCATATGCCTTGCGAGGTTAAATTTATTTTTGTATTAATGTATTAGAGTTTCGATACAATTACAATACCTTAGAATAATATATTTATCATTATTTACACAAAATATGTAAAACCATTGTGATTGCATTTAAAATCACTGGTAACCTGAACCCAAATTGAGAGTCATCAAAAGAGATTTACCGATTTAAAGATATACCGTATAATAAAAAAAAACGGCGTCAAAGATGGCTGGTGAATGACAATCGATGATCATTTTGAAGAGGTCAATCTCGAGACGTCAGTTAGTAAAAATTGACATAAAGCTTTTCAAAAATTAACACTAATTATAGGAAGATGAATAGAATGTTTCCAGACACACATATTTATTTTTCCAATTTTTTTAAACTTTAATCTACAACATCTAAGTAATTTTTACTCAATATAAAAATAAATTACAACCTTCTTAAGGCCAACTGGCAGTAAGCGCCATTAAAGGGTAAAGAAGAGTACAGGCTAACTAAGTAATGCGGTCTTGGGCTTCATCTCGCTAAAATTATAATCGATCTTAATTTCCTAGCCGTCTTAGACGCCGTTTTTTTTTCGATCGTATGGTATCATATTAAAAGGAATGAAATCTTTAGTGAAAATGTAGCAAAGGTTTGTTATTAAATAGAAAACTATTCTAATAAATATTTTATATGAAATTTATATATTTGCTTAAGATTTATAAGAAATATTATTATATTACAAAATGTAAGTATAAAATAAGACTCGTTGTTTATCTTTCGTCTCTTCAAACAAATCAAAACAATCAAAAGAAAGGGCGCGAGACAAGAATTATACCACTTTATTGATTTAGACTAAAGATTCACAGTCAACGCTCTCATCGTAAACATATTAGGCTGCTTCCCAACGCATCGACCTAAGGCAGTGTCAAATGTTATCGCAAAAACGATGCGGGATTTAGGAAAATCCCTCGATGGTAAAGCCGCCACTGCGAATTGACTGCGGGAAAATCACTTATAAAATGTGGCAGTGTATTATCATTAGCATATAATCAGGACCTATTTCAAGAATTCAATTGATTCGCTATTTGTAAGCCGTTCGATAAATCTTCTTGTCGTCTAAACGTCTCTCGGCTTTTTATTTATTAGAGTTTTCGGTTTAGCTTCTTTTTTACTGCATAGAGTGGTTTTCGACTGAAGATATCTAGTCAGACTTAATTAGAACTCTTTTTCTTGATAATTTCTTCATTTTTATATTATTTTATTTATCCAATTGTAATAAAACTAAAACTGTCGTTTCTTCTTAGATTGACAGAACCTGCACATGGCTTCGTCCGTCAATCCCATTAGCTTCACATGCCTATTCAGCTTACAGTGACCTGTTAGTAAACCCACTACACACCTTTTTTTTTAATTTTGGTGAAGTTTCTCCACATTCTAGAGATTTGTTGGCCACCCATGGTTCAGTGGCTATTCTGGTGACTGTCCTTGCGGCGCCGCAGAAGATTCTGAGCCTTAATAATAAGTAATTAGTACAAGGAAATATAAAAAACGACCTAAAACAAAAACAATATTACTACTGCCATTACTCGCTGACAAGTATTTGCCACGCATCAGAAGATGGTTAAGCAAGGCGTTTTCTTTCACGAGTTTTTTTGAACATTTTCTATATACTGTTCCGCAACATAACTTATTGAGGTCTGATACGCACAAATTTAATATTTATTCCCGCAAAATAACTTTAAAATTATTTTGCTTCTATTTTAGAGCAGTTGTTAACTATCAAAGATCTGTTTAAGAGGTATAAATGCGGCAATTATTAAAAATTAACCTTATGTGTTTTTTAAATATAACAATATATAAAATTCTACGTTACTGGCCTATTTTAAATCTATTTAAATATTTCTTATCACGATTAGTAATATGAACTTAATTTTACATTAAATTTTAAAGCATAATTTGTGTAAGATTAAAGAAAATATTGACAAATTAGCTGTTTATATTTTATACTTTGTTCGAAATATATCAACCAAAAATAATAATACTATATACTAACACTTAGCACAAATTATAATAAATAAATACAGATTTATAATATAACTAGATCTCTATTTTGAATATACTTTAACTGATATCCACGATCTAAATTTAAATAACATTATCTTGGCATATTTAAAAATTGATTCTTTTGTCAATAGAAAAGATTACTGTAATCAATTCCTGCCAAACTAATAAATTACCCTGCTATGATTACCCTATATGCTTTCTGATTTAATGAAACAAATTAATTAGAATATTCATTGACAAAGTTTAATAATTATTATTTAGTCTTTATTAACGTGTAATTATATACTGATAAATAGTACAAAGCAATAATTTCGTAATAATTAATTGTTACGAACCGATCTGACGCCGATCGAAATCAAATTGAAACTGTACCGTTCGAGCAATAAACAATTTTTTTTAATTTCGGCAATTTACAGCCGATATCAAACGAGAGCTGGACTTTATGGTTGGTTAATTGTCTTCAATTAAAAGGCAAATTCGGAATTTAAATAATGTAGGTTCCATCTTTTGTGGCAATATTTCGCTAGAAAGCGGAACGAAGGCTTGCGCAACGACTATCAACTGAGAGAGGGCCATAGCGCAAGTCTAAATTTCTCAGAAAGGCCGCACAGTAAGGGCGGCAAAATTTTCAGGCAATGTGATAAAAGCGCCCGACCGCCGAGGATTTTGCCATTCTGTTTTCCACAGCGCTGGAAACACGATCTTTTCGGCATTATCTCTCGAAGCAGTCGCGTTGTTCTAATAAATTTTCAAACAGTTTTTATCTCATTTAAATCTCTAGAATAAAGCAAAATGTGAGCAAATACAAACAATCACATCAAAAATTTGTCAAACAATTTATTGTTTATAAACTTGTACATAACTTTTTCTTTAGTGTAAAACTCAGTGTAATCAAAAAACTATTCTCAGTGTTTCAGTAGAATTAATATTAGTGATATGGTGTCAGTAGAATATTTAGCGATTTTAAACGCGCTAAGAACATTTATTATTAGTGTTATAAGTAGTAAAACTTTGTTATTCGGTTTAAGTGGGGTATTTTTTACTTTCGCTCAAGTGGACGATACCCTTCCACGATTTTTTGGTAAGTGCTATTTTTATAATTTATCGCACATAATCGCGTGAAAAATTTAACGTTAACTCTCGGTTTTAATTATAACTGAAGAATTCCACTGAAGAGGATCGTTAGGTAAACATTTTCCGATCCCTTCTTTTGCTCTTCCTTCTTGAGCTTTGTTTTATAGCTCAAACTAAACAATAACCGATGACGTTTTTAATTAATTTTGTAAAACGGTCTTTGCTAATGTTTATACATCAACAAACACTTTGTATAAAAAAGAATAGCGATATTTTTATAACATAGCAATTGGTTTTTTGATGTAAAAATGCTTAATCTGTTTTAACATGCATTGCTGGTTTTTTATATAAAATTATATGGCAAAAAACCACGCAATTGTATTTGTGTAATTAAATTTATGCGCTTTTTCTGTAAAAAAAATATTTTTTAACGTTTAAATGCATTATTGAACAATTATTGTTTATATAGGTTTATGATATATTTAAAAAATATATAGTGAGTATGTAAGTATAGTAAAACTTTATAATAAATTTTAATACTTTTAAAATAAAAAAAACTGTTTTTCCCTTTTTTAACTAAATAGAATTAAAATCTCTTTTACGAACACTCTTCCCCTAGAATTTTAATTAATATTTTCGACCCAAACTTAATAAAAATTTTAATCAAATCAGCAACTGGGCCTCTTAAATAAACCAGTTCAGCAAAAGTTTGAGTAATTTTTATTTATTTTTATTAACTGCCTTACCTAAAACATCAAAATGGCTTGCGGAGAGATAGCTACTGTGAATTAAATTAAATAGCTTGTTTTGAATTACTAATAAACTCAAAATAACTGTAAATTATCTAATTGATATTTAATAATTAGGTGGTTTCATATAAATATAAATTAATTTGATAATAATTCGAATATATAATATAATATTTTTCCAATTTTATTCATTTTAAATGTTAAAATTATATTTTAACATTTGAATCCCTAAAATTAGAAAAATATTATAATGAACGTTAAACTATCTAATCTGTATTTTATAATCTATTAAGTAATGATTTCAACATTATAAATTTTTATAATAAATCAGAGTATTTCTATATAAAATCGATAAATTTATATCAAACGATTTTACAAGTGACGCAAATAGGTGAATTTTTTTCGTATTCCTACTTCAAAAAAAACATCAATCAAATGGGAACCAGATATTTTAATTCCCTCATAACTCAATTACATGACAAGCTGATCCGCCCCCAACTGAGGTGAGAGTGAGTGTATAAGCGCCATGCAGGTTATCTCATTAGGGGGTAGGTATCTTACACATTAAAGCATCTAAAATATTTTACCTTACCAAAAAAGAGACAACAATTTATTTCATATATACTTTACAAGAGGTTATTTATCTTCTCCCTTCTTTCTATTTCTACTACTTCTATAGAATATTTTTTATAGGGAAATTATATATTTCTACAGTGATTATCAATTTATTTTGTCTTTAACCATTTACCTAGAATATTTATTCGAAAATAATGAATTGAAGGGCTTATTGTAATAACACGATATGCCACAAATATATCATACGCCATAATTCTTAATTATTAGATTTCGCAGTCTTGAAAAAATGTGTAAATTTAAATATTAATGAATGTAATTATTCTATATCCTTTATGTAATTAAATATTGATAAATACAAATTTGAAGGTGTTTTAGAAATAGTTTAGTTTAACTGGCTTAGTATTTATTAACAAATTTTGGATAAAAGGCAAGAAAAACACTAGTTACTAGTTAATAAAACTGATTTCTGGTTGAGTGGCTTACCATGTTATTACATTCCCTTCAATTATAGGATTTTTAGTTAAGTTTTTATTCGCATTACCAAAAATAGTATACGTTGTCAAATGCTAGATTAAATTCTCCAGTCCAAACATTTTTAAAATGTCTAGCAAATTTGAGACAGAACCCTCCATACAGCGCTTTGTCAAAGGCTTGTTATTGCCTAATACAAAGAACCCTACTACTGCCATTACTCGCTGACGAGTATTTGACATGCATCAAACGATGGTTACGCAAGGCGTTTTCTTTCATGAGCTTTTCTGTTACTGAAAAGCCCGATACGTGATTTTCTCTTTCTTCCGCACTCTGGACATTCAAAAATCTCATTACTTTGTTGCCTCTTTACTTTTTGGTTAACTGAGTTTACAGTTCTTCTCTATTGCGTTCTATTGTGTGCTGCTTCCTCCCACTGATTTTGCATGCTTGTCCTCTTTAATTTTTTGTGGAAAATATCCTTGTACCTTTTGAGTTGTCCACCCGGTTTCCTCTTACCCTCTACAAGCTCACCGTAAAGAAGAGACTTTGGTCGGCGGTTTTCTTGCATCCTTGCATAGGTGACCCGCCCACCTTAAGCGGGATTTAGTTAGCATGACTTCAGCGCTCTCGCAGCTAGATTTTTCAAAGACAGATACGTTTGAGATATTTTGGTACCATTTGATTCTTAGTTGTCTAAGGTGTCTCTGTTAGAATTCGTCTAATGCGTTCGTGTGCCGGCGGTACGGCACCCAGGTGTCGCTTCCATATACTATGGTGGGGATGGTACACTGCAATTTTCTCGGTACACTGAAATTTTGGTTTTTGCGCTCTAGTCATGATTGTAGAAAACCCTGTCTTTTAATTTCCAGAATGCTCTTGAGGAGTTGCTAATTCTATGCAGAGTCGATATTGGCCTTTTCCGAAATCAAACTGCCGAGGTAATTGAATTCCGCTACATATTCCAATAGTTCTTCTTCGATTTTTGTAGCATTGTAACTGTTAAATATACAAAAAACCGCACATTTACTAACAGAAAATATGTTCTACCGTTTCCTCGTCCCATAAGATCGACAACATCTGCACATGATTTCATCCGTCAATTCCATCAGTTTTAGATGCCTATTAAGCTTAGAATGCTTTGTCAGTAGACCAATTACAGCTTTGACAGTCTTTCTGTCAGATCAACAGTAAATTTTGGCGCATGATCTAATACGAACTTTTTGCCTGTCTATCTCCTGATAAATTTCACCATCATTCTAGAGATTTGTTGGCCTTCCACAAAAGAATTTCACAAATCGGAATAATTCATCACTTAATATTGTATGATTGTCATTTTCTTATTCTAATTTTTATATAAGTTATATATTTTGTAAAAAGTAAATAAAAGAATGCGGTGAGCTAACTAGGTGCGAAATATAAAATATCGATTGAAAGCCCAAAACAGGGTCATCTTTCAACTATGTTTTAGGTGTAAAACCTTTTCTAAAAGTATCTATAATTTTTGGTCGACCAAGTCTAGTAGAGATATAATAAGAAATTTATGTCGCCAATAAATTTTATTTAATATATATCTGAGACGAGCTTCTTTTTCAAAACTTTTAAAACCATTTATTACTAGGAAAGATAAGTTCTTAAACGTTTTATTACGCCGTTTAAAGTATTCAAAAATTTTAAGTTTTAAAATAGTAGAAATTAGTGTATAAAGACCGTTGTTAAAAAAATATTAAATCCAATTTATATATGTTTCTAGAGTAAAGATCTAAGTAATTGATAGGTTTACTTTCGACTGTGAATCTGAAAATGTTAATCTTCAATACTGTACCTCGATTTCTAGCAGGATTCTATTGTAGTTTCCCGAGAAAGTATGTGCACAAGGGACGCATAACAGATGGTAATAAATTCCAAGTTAATTTGTTATAAATTTTAAAGGTAAGAAAGCTTTGATGTTTGTCGTGGGGAAGCAGAACAATATATTTTAAATCGGTTTTATTGCAAACGATATAAAGCTACGATTTCAGCATTTTTCCTTTTGTTGCTCCATATAAACCAGTAATTTTTCCAACGACAATTTTAAACGACTTAATGTAATTACATTTCTGTCAAAATAGACATTCGTCTTCAAAAATTACGGTAAAGGATTTAGTCTAATCAAATTTAATTTTTTAGGGAATGTTTTGGGGTAGTTCTGATTTATTATTTTTTTTATGTTCTTTTAATAATTTTGCAGCAGATTGCTTTATTTGAATACCTGTCAATTTTCCTATGCTAGTGCTTTTACAATCTTCTCAGAGTAGTCATCAAAAATGACAAGTGATATAGAGAATGGGTACTAAGCTCAAACAAAAAAAATAATTATCTGAATGTTTTACGCTGAAAATTCTTTGGAAAAGTGTGGTTGGATTATAATTATAGTTCTGTTTTCTATCTGTACAGAGTTGTTCATTATTGCAAGAGGTTCTACTTTTTCACTTCATTTAAATTGATAGTTTGAGAATTACCACCCAAAATTCGGTCTATACTTTTCTCTTTTAACAAGTGACAGTGTATTCTTTCATCTGCACTATACCCTGTACTTTTAAAGTTATAAATAAAAAAAAACAAAAACTTTTTTTTTTCACTTTTTGCAATTTTCTCCACGTTCTGTCACGAAATTTTATTAGCAAACCTCAGATTCAAATTCAGCACCCCATAAAACATTTTAAATAGAAGAAATTAACTAATTAATGCTTGTTTATACTAGGGTAAGCTAAAGCACTAATCAGGGGATATTCTGTACCGTTATTTAAAATCAAATATTAATATTTAATTGACACAATAATATCTAATGATTATACATGATTATACAAGAATATTCAACTAAAAAATGAGAAAATATGTTTAAATTTAAAGTAATGTTAATACATAAAGTTCAGTAATTAGTTCTTAATTTAGAATCGTTTAAATACATATTTATGATTAATCATATTTTCCGCGGCAGTAAATTCTGTAGATATATTGTGTAAATATATTTATGGTAACACATTTGTTTATTTCAAAGCACATAAACAGGCGGATAAATGTTTGTTGTGACGATAGGCTTAGCTTTTTGTTCCAGTTTATTGTTATTATGTAGAAATGGCATGCAAATTACCGTTCTGACTGGTTTATTATTATAGGCGCCGCAACGAAAATAATTACCATACATACTTTATTCAAGACCTTATGCTAT